GGTGGCCTGGGGCTCACAGGTTCAGATCCTGGGCACAGACCTACGCACTGCTTATCAAGCCATGCTGTGGCAGGTGTCCCACATATAAAGTAGAGGAAGATGGGCACGGATTAGCCCTGGGCCAATCTTCCTCAGCAAAAAGAGGGGGATTGCCAACGGATGTTAGTACAGGGCTAATCTTCCCCACCAAAAATAAAATAAAATGTGGCACATTTTAATAGCCTTGAGTGCTATTGCCACGTGCTGACATGTTTGGTTCTTTCCCAACCCTTTAATGAAGAAATCCAGGTGACAGGCCCCAGCTCAGAAACAAGGTAGCAATGCCAGGACCTGCCTATTTTTTAGTCTCCAGGAAACTCCTCTCAGGCCAGGAAAAGACTTTAAAGTGTCCCCTAACCAACCAGTTACAGGGAGGAAAAAAAAAGGAGTTTAACTGCTAAATTCACATGCCAAGACATTAAATCTACATGAATAACTGTAAAGTTACTCTTTCATCTTTAGAGATCTTACCGACAAAAAGTTAAAATTACTAGTAACATTTCAGAGACTTCCCTAAATGCACTATTTTGGAGACCTAGTTATAAAGAAACACTCAGAATTTCTTCTAGGAGCTACATCTGACTCTTGATCAAACTTAAGTTTACTAAACTAGACCGGAAATGCCAGCAACAGAAGGAGCATCTTCTTCAGGGGAGACATGGAAAGTCAGAAGATACGGAAGAAGAAAAAAGCGATTAATAGGAGCCTTGAAGTTGTTTAAATAAATCCTCTTTGCTTCCCTAGGATTAGGCTATTCTAAGGAATTTCAGTGCCAAGGAAATCTAGGAGTTGGGTGTTGAATACATTTGGCTGGTCTTACAGAGAGAATGGGCAGTTATCTTCCAAGAAGGGATTCCACCTCACACAGCCTGGCTACCTTCCCACAGCCCCACACTATGCTGAAAAATATAATCCTCCAAAGGCCAGTGTGAAAAGACATCTATTGGGTTCATCATTCAGCTAGAGAAACTGTCCCCAGTTAAAACGCGAACACACGAGCAGTAGTAAAAGCTGTCAGTGGTTAATACCCCCATGTTCATCAGTTTATCAAATCTTTTCCCAGAAGCACCTAGGCGAGGATGTTTAACAGGGAAAATAGAAGAGAGAAACGATTCCAAGTACAAGATTAAAAGAGGACAGTATGATACCTGGAGGAGAAATGAGGGTGCCTTGAGGAGGGAGAAGGGGATCAAAGAACACTTGAACTCCATCAGGGCTCTGCACGGACAAGTGCTAGAGGTGCTAATCAGGGGGTCGGGCACTTGGGAACCCTGAGTCAGAAAAGGCAAATTTTCTCTCCAAAGATCAGTTCTATTTCCACAGGAGAATACCACCCAGCAAATCAGTAGCATAACCAATAAGGAATTCAAGATTTTAAGAGTTTAGACTAAGACACAAACAAATGTTGCTAATGGACTGGTGATGGCAGTTTATCCAAACTCATAACCCACTTAACACTAGGTCTGCATCGGTTTCATTTTGCAAAACATGGTTTTTAATCTGCCAGGCTGTCTAGGTAGAATTATTATTGCCAGGTGAATTCTCCTATTAGAAAAGAATAGGACATCAAAGAAAAATCTGTTTGTAACCAGAGTTTCTTACAGCTTATGCTTGCCTGACTTCAGTACCCACTCACTTTGCCCCCCAGCAAGCTTTGGAAAGGTTTACGGAAAATCAATAGGTGCCACTTCACAAGTAAATAATTTCCCAAATTAAATCCACCTCTTTCTCTACTGGAAAATAATGCCTACTCCTGTCCCTTCCGCAGATAGACGAAATTGCAGACAGTTCTCCAGTTGCCATGCTAACGGATAAATGAAAAAAACCTCCCAAAGAGTTTCAACTTCCTCCCTCAGAACAAACACCACACTGAAATGGGGCAGTTAATTAGTAAAAGAATGGATCGATTCACTTTTTACTACCCTACTTCAGCCTATAAAGAGAGTGCTAGTGAGAAAGAAAGAAAAGTAAGCCCAAATGGGTGGCTGAATGGGGGAGGTTGAGGCGGAGAAACTCAAGATTGAGATGAACACTGGGGTCATGAAGCCATCTGAAGTGTGAGGGATGTTATAGACCTTTGCCTTCCAAAATCACAAGTATTTTGCATAAAATTTCAAGAGGTTCATGAACCCTTTGGTGCCCATTCATGGACCCCAGATGTATAGAACCCCTGGCCTAATTTCTAGAATTTACTCAACACTACAATAGCGCACAGAGATGTACATATAAAAATGCTCTCTGCCACATTCTTTATAACAGCAAAAGATTGGAAACAACCTAAAGGACCATCAAGAGGAGACTAATTAGGTAAGATCATGGCCAACAACAAGAATGGGATGAATCGATGAGTGCCCCAGGAAACAGAGACCAAAATGTGTCGTTAAGTGAAAAACACAAGGTACAGAATAGCAGGCCAAGTATGACTGTATACACACAATATTTCTGAAAGGACACAAGAAACTAGAAACAGCTTGAGTCTGAGATGGGAGCCCGGACCATAAGGGATTTGGGTTGGAAGAAAAATTACTTCTTCATTTTTTTCCATGTTACTACTTTTTTAATTAAAAGAAAGCTAATTGGAGATAGATAAACAAATAGTTGAAAAGAGAGAAAGAGAGAGAGATTGATAGTTTTAAAAGAACTTCTAGTCTAGCTAAGTCCCAAAATATCCCCAGCCTTGAGATAGTTGATATCGTAAAACATTTGGCACCAAGACATCAATAGGCAAGTATCTCATAAATGCTTTTCCCAGCTCAGAATGCTGCCGCCGCTCAGAGCAGCTGAATCTTCTCTCCCACAGTGAGGCTTTTCTGGCTTTTGCTCTTGCTGAACCAATTATGGGACATTATAACAGCAGCGCCAATATTATTTTTTAAAAGGCTGACGTTAATCACTAAATACCCATTAAACCAATCTCCTTGCTCCATTTACAGCAAGCTTAAGGGCAAATCCAGATGGTACAAATAATGCATATTCAGACTTGATCTGCATGAGGCCAGTCATCAAATAGCCATTATCAGTTTTAGAGTCTTCAACTGCCTGACACCCACAGGTGTGTCCAGGTGAGAAGAGCAGAGACCTTTCCAGAGAGAGAGACCTTTCCAGAGAGAGACAGCTAGGCTATCTCAGTGTTGGCAAAACATCTTCATGCTCCCTTAAGGGCTTCCTGTGCCTTTGTACCTCAACAGTTAGCAATGGCCGAGGGTTGCTTGGTAACCTGGTAACAGGCTGTGCCTAGGTGTTCCTGAGCAGTGGACAGTATTGCATCTCCCTCCCACACAGCCCCCGCTCACCGCTTCACCCTAGCGTGGCCAAGAAGATCCAGCAGTGCCAGGAGACACCCCTGCAGAGCCATCTCCCAGTGGCCCTGTATTCCCGTGGTCCCACTGAAAAAGGTCCATCAAAGGGATGGCCGCTTTTTACCTTTTTTGATTGACAGGCACTGAACCCTCCCCCTGTGGCCTCAAAGATTAAAAAATGGGATAGAATAAAATCTGGCCAACTTTTTCATCCTGGAGAAGGCTCAGAATCAGGACTGTACAGTTTTCAAAGGGGCACACAGGAGCGCTAGCCCAGTATCGCTAGTGAGAAGTGACAGAAATCCTGTCCCTGTGTTCCCACGACTTGGCTTGAAAAATGACAAGCTTTACTGGAGGATGGTACCCAATCCTGGTCACCAGGCAGCTCCTGACTTGCCAACAAAAGGAGAACAGCAGACAGCACCTAAGTCACTCTGATTTGAATATGAATGACATGTGTGATTCGAGGCAGGGGCAGGTTTTTCGTGTTAACCCTCTATTACTGGAGCTCATGCTAAATGAATTTTTATTTCTCACATCGGAAGTTGTGGGAGGTAGTGAGGATTAACCCAAGTGGAGAAGAGATCCGAGTTCTCCATGAATAATTCATGCAGGACATAATCTGAACACAGATAATTGAGAACTGGCTGCGCCATTGCTGTAACTTTTGCACATTTACTGTCCCCGAGGTCTAGAGGTCATCTTAGCCCATACACAGTGAAAATACCAAATTAAACGGAAAAGGACTTTTCTCCCTTCAATCACTAATGTGAAGACAGTGACCAGTCTCCAGTCTATTTCTCCCCAGTTCATTCAAGAGAGAAGTCTGTGCAAGGAAGGAGGCACCCCTCCTCAACATCATTTGCATAGTTTTAGGTCCTAAATCCATGGTCTACAGAAGAAGTGGGGAGGGCGAGGGAAAAACACTTCACAGCGCCTTAAACATGGGACTTTAAACTCAAAGGAAAAGAAGGGCACCCACCTCTCCTCATGCTAATGGGCCCTTCAATTAGCCAAATGCCCTGAGTGAGCGATGACTGGGCAAGGAGGGGGAAAACAATAGAGTCCTTCCAGTACACCTTCAACTCCTTCTCAGTGGGCAACGGCCAGCCTGCACCCCCCCACAGAGGTTTAGGAACTGCCATCTGATTCCTCTCAAGGGACACATTCCCTCCAACTTAAGAGGGAAGGCATGACTCTCTGCCAGTGGTTTTAGGTTTTCTAGCTCCAAACCGAATCAGTGAGAGAAACATCCACATTTTCCCAGATGAATCAAAAAGACAAAAGTCACATAAATGGAAAGGAGCATTCGGGTCCGTCAGAGAGGGAGACAGAGGGACAAATGCCCATATGCTCTAACCCAAATCAGCCCAACCCCATCAGGGGGGCCCTGGTCCACTTGCCCAAGTTGGAAAGACGATCAAAAGGCAATGTTACCTTGTGTGCACTAAGCAGGTGGTTTGGAGAACAAGTGAGAAAGGAAGGCATGGGGCAGACGCCAGTTGAGCCCTATGCAATAGCGGGGTAAGTAGTTTGGAGGGCTAGGACAGAGCACCTGGCATTTCCCTCGTCATTCCCCCTACCACCAGGCCCGAGTCTACCCCGTTTAACTCAGCCCAGGGTCTGCAGCAAGGAGCTTGCCTGAAAGAAGCCCAGCGCTACCTATCCGGATGGAAAGTTCACTCTCGGGGAAGAGCAGCCTGGGACCCTCAGCATCAGACTTCTTCATCAACGCAGAGTCGAAGTTCAGTGCCAGGGCCGTCTGGGGGTCTTCTGCTGCACCCTGAAACAAGAAGCAGTGGCGTCACTGTAGCACCTCTACCACCTTCCTTCCCCAGCTCCCTCCAGCTCCGAGCTGCCCAGGCAGCTTGCCAATCTCTGCCAAGAGCTCCAAGGCGCGGCCAGTCCCCGGGCCAGACCCAGCTGTCAGGCCAGGAAGCCTGGGTCATTAGGAAACAACAAACTTTCTGGTTGTAGAACTTTTGGGGTGACAAAAACCGGATCTGAGGGCTCGGTGCTGATCCTGGAAATGGGACAGACACATACGGGGCAAGATGGGGGCCAAACATCAAGATCCCACTCCACGCATCATCACCAAATGGCACAATGGACTCAGTTCCTGGACTATCAAAAGAAGCCTATACGGCAGGTTCACTTGGGTGGCAGCCTCAGTACAGGAACCAAGGTCACATTTTTAGGAGTTCACCATCTTCATGTTTCTCATGAGATCAAAAGGGGAAGAGATCCACACAAAAGCACCTCCAAGGAAGGAAACCATGAGAGTCTCGGAGGACACAATATATTTGGAGTTAAGTCCCAATGGCCTTAAACAACCACGTCACCCTTCTGCTTTGTCTGTAACTAGTTAATTTGGCTGTTTTTGCATTAACTAGGCAAAGTCTTAATTTTGATCCCCACATTTATTTAACAAATATTTATTGGCCGCCAACTCTGTGAATATTTGGTGAACAAGACAAAGTCCCAGCTCTTACGGAGCTTATAGTCAGATGACTCCATGATGGGGCCAAAGGTATGAGTGGGAACCCCTGACCCTGCAGACGGCTTACAAATGCACAAGACCGTGAGGGGAACAAGGAAGACGGTGACCCCACCAACACACACCTCCACTTTCATCCAAACACGCTAAGGGAAGGTGAGTAGAGTCATCTGGATGGGAAAAAAACAGCAGCTACTTTTTGAAAACCAGGCAAAAATCATTCCAAACAAACAGAAGTTTCCATTTAAAATATGTGTCTCTAATATGGGAGAGAAGGCTTATGACCCAATCACTGAAATGCACCCATTTACAAGCAAATACAAAAACTGTTTTGTTGGGTGAGTTTCTTTTGTGAAGGAATCTCACAAACGTTATGCCTGGCTGTGTCTTACACACACACACACACACACACACACACACACACACACGCCTTCTCGTTTTCTCATTGACATGTTGATCAGGGATCAGAAAGAGAATCTAATGATTCAGATATTTTATTTCATTATTTCTTTCCAACTAAATGTTAAAAATGAACACATAAGGCCTTCTTCTCATGTCTTCTCATTTGTCCAATACATTGATATTGTCCTGATCATTTATTTGCAATATCTTCTATCATGCACTTTAATAAGGATGCCAATACCTCATTTAACCTTGTTTTAAAAGGGGAAACAAAGCCTCGTGGCTCTGCCTGAGCCACCCTCGTTAAAGTTCTCCGGTTCCTCTGTAGAATCCTGGGGGCTGCAGGATTTCACGGCTCTGTCACTGGGAGAAGCACAGAGAGAGGCAGTCTGTCACACCGTATCACAGTCAAGGTTGACACTACAGATGGACAGAATCCTGGGGACAGAAGGGACTTTGAGAAGGCCAGTCTCTCCCCCTGCAGAAACCCCCTCCAGCCTCCCCCGAGTGACAGCTGGTGTCTGTGCCATGTGCCATGGGCCATGCAGTCACAGCTCTTTGTTTGTTTATATGCTTTAATTATTTCTAATTCTACATCTCACGCTGACATCTGAGGAATCACTGCAGCAATAAAAGCCGTGTTTCACTGTGAGAGTGTGTCGGCTGACTCTCCTTCCTTTGTCTTCCTTCTTTTTATAATGTGATTGATGCGTAACTGGGGGGAGAATCTGGAGAGAGAACCACTTTATTACAGCAGAAATGCAGCAGCATTAATAGGCTCGAAGCTGCTTATCTGACTGGAACCCATTTAGTAAGGTACAGCTTGGAGAGATTCTGGTTTTAATTGAGAACAGTGCTTTTCAACTGGGGTGATTTTGCCCCCCAGGGGACATTTGGCAATAGGCATTTTTGTATGTGGGGGTGGGGGAGAGGGGTGATGCTGGTATCCAGTGGGTCGAAGCCAAGGATGCTGCTAAACATCCTACAATGAACAGGACAGCCCCCACAACAAAGAACGATCCGGCCAAATGTCAATAGTGCCGAGGGTGAGAAACCCTGCTTTAAAAAGACTTAGGATGATCAGACCCCAAAGCTCCCTGTATTACTGGTAATGCTAGGAAATCACAGACCTTCATTTTCCTGTAAAGATAAGAATTTGCCACTTTCTCTAGGAAGCCTGCCTGCCTGCCTTCATGTATTTTGCAAATTCTTATTAAGCATCAACAGTGTACCAGAACTATTCCAGGTTCTGGTGATACAAAACAGCCAAGTCCTGAAGCTAGCATTCTCCTTCCAGAGACAGACAATAAACCAACAATACGTTATAAAATAAGAGTGCCAGGGAGTGATAATGTTAAGAAGAAAAGTAAGTCATAGCCGTGGTTATCATAGCCGTCCCCGTAAAAGAGTGATATGTACTGGGTTCCAGCGTTGCGCCAGGCCCTGTTCCAGCATCTTACATGTGCTTGCTCACTATGACATGTGAAGACGGAGTGCTCCTTCAGATAAACGCTGAGGGAGGCCTCTCTGAGAAGATGGCATTGGAGCAAAGACCTGAAAGTAAGGGAAGAAGTCACACTGATTTCTGAAGACAGCGTTTCAGGCAAGGAACAGGAGGGCAAACCTCCCTCTTCCGTGCCACATCCTTTTACCATTTTATCAACCTATATTCTGTTGGTTGTATTGCTTTCTTTCAGTGCTGGGAGTGGGGGTGTACTAAGAAAATCCCACCCCAACTTCACTTAGAAGCTGCCCTTTGAAAACCTAGACAAGACCCAGCATATTCCACCTGTACCCCCACACACACACTGTACCCCCCACTCCTATCGCTTGATCCCTCATTGAGCCTCAGGAGGGCTGGGGCCAGCTGTGCAGCATGGGAGCTGCAGGGAGCACTCACAGAGTGATGCCAAGGACAGCTTCTTCTACACCCCACGACTGGCAACGCTCTCTGCACGCCTCTGAGCCCAGGCACCAGCCGGCCTCCCAGGGCTCCTTTCAGACTGCCTTCTGGGATTCCCAACATATCCTACCCTCCACTCTCAACTGTTGATGAGGGAAACAGAGAAGCACATCCCTTGGAATTTCAAGGAACAGCCCTGGTAGGAGACGCCAGCCCTGCTTTGGTGGCTTTATCACAGAGCCCATGACGGTGGGGGAAAGTCAGGAAGCACCTGGGGGGCCAAGGTGGCTCTCACAGTGCAGGGCTGACACCACCCCTTGCTCCATGGAGCCCCGTCTGTGCCCCGAGCATGTGGACTGCAGGTGGAGGGGTGCTGCACTTCTTTACGGAAGCCTTAAATAAACACAGCCTTGGCCTGTGCCGGAGTGACCAAGACCCCAGGGAGAAACTCCTTCTCTACATCCTCCTCTTGCTTTGCTGATGGCAGCACACCCCTCTTTATTTGATATTATCACTTTCTTACACTTCTGGGGCTTTTTTTTTTAATCCCTGCAAAGCTTTTCCATTCACACTACCTCACTCAGTCCTTGCAGCCCTGCGAGGACAGCAAGGTGGGAGAACGATCCCTTCCAGGGCAAACACGTGACTAATGCAAGCTGCTATTGACTTTCCACCACAGCCCTGAGAGCCTGCTGGGCTGCCCACCAGTGGGGTAATGAGTCCCTCTCCCACCCCCTGGCAGCTTCAGTTGGGCTGCTGGGGCTTTGACAGTTCAGGGTTGCTTGTCACCTTGCAGCTCCCAAATGTCAAGGCGCCCAATATACAGGCTCCTTCTTCCCAAGCCACAAGTCTCCTTTCCTTCTGCACCACTCCCTCCCCTAAGTCCTTTCCCTGCCCACCCCCCATCCCTACCCAGTCCTCCAATCTAGTTTGGTACAGAAAGCAGGCAGGCGGCTGCTGGGAGACACCAGGCAACACCCATCCAGGGCCATGGAACTTGGGATCGCTGTCCTCTCGTGACAGAATTATTATTATTCTTATTAATATTATTATTATTAATGGTTTGGGGCAAGTCCCTGACTCAGAATAAATAGAGTAACTTCCACCTACTCTGAAAAGGCCTTGCAAAGGAGCAAGAGCTGGAGAATAATTAGCACTTTCCAGAAGGAAAAGAGAGGGAGCGGAGAGAAAGGGAAAGAAGGAGGAAATAAAATGGGGGGGGGGGGAGCCCTGCAATATGCCTTACATGAAAACAAAAAGGCTTCCAAAAATAATATGTACGTCTCCTTCAAGAAATAAAATCTGGGTGCTGTTCATCAGGGTTTGCTGCCCCAGGCAAGACAACTGCTGGTTGCTGATGTTCCTAGAGCCCTAAAGAAATGAGTCACAAAAGGAAAAGCCTAGAGTGTAGCGGACAGGATGCACTCATCTCCAGGTGAGGTCTATCATGGCCAACGACAGCCCCCCACGCAAAGCACAAGTGGATAAATGCCATTAGGTGCGCAAGCTCTGAGGGCCCTGCAGCCCCCAAAACTCAAGGCAAGCAGCCTGGCGCATCTGCTCCGAGTCCCAGGAGCAATCTTCGATGTGTTCACCTGTCTCTGGTTCTTCCCCCACTGGGATGGGTCACTGCTACTAACAGCTGTCAGAAGAAGGCAAAGTCGACTAACCTCTATACTTGCCAGCATACTTGTGGCAAGCCTGACCTTCGCCAAACCCACACAAACCTCCTGTCATGTTAACTAGGCCCGGGGACTCTGTGATGACATGGCACCTCCCCAGCCCCATGGAGTGCAGTCTCTTTAATTGAGGTTTGTCAGCAAGTTGAAACTCCCTGATGAAGTGCGAAGGGAAGGGTCAGAGGATTAATTGGTGGCCCCTGCCAGCCACAGCTAAAGTATTACACCCCAGTGGAGAAGCCGCACCCCCCCAGGGACTCGGGGCACGCTGATGCTGGGGAAGGGGCCTGGAGCCCTATGTG